ACAGATAGACTTCTGTGTTCTCAGTGAACTTTATATATTACTAAGAGATCAAGAAAATGAACAAACCCTCAACTGGAAAAATGTACTTATCTATGGGCAACAGATATGAGCTAGTTACTTAATTTGGTAGATGATTAGGAGGTCTCATGGAACCAGCAGGATGACAGGACCTCATTTCCTTGCTGAGCCTTAGCAGTGCATGAAGTTCTGTTTGTGGCCATCTTGTTTCTCACTAGGACCACAGTCTCTAGACATCTCTACTCCCATGTGCCCAGTGCCTCTTTCCTTTCATTCCTGGCCTGTTGGCACTATGCAATCTTCTGAAGCTCTTCAAGTTGAGCCTTTCCTCAAAATTCTTCCCCTGCTCACAGCTCCAGATCCAGCCCATGTTACAGTACTCTAGATTTTCTTTTGACCCCACTTTCTGCTGTCTGTCCTTCTCAATCCCTGTTTGTGCCCAGTGTCTGAGTATACAGTTCAGCAGAAGGCAATGTTCACAAGTCTCCATCTAGTATCGTCAAGGGACAGGAAATTCTAACCAAATGAGAAAAACAACTTTGTTCTAGGCAGAAAAGCACCAAGTTATCCAACTAATTGGTATACATACATTAGCTACTTAGAGCAGTTCCTGGAAAACAGTGAGTGCTTCATAAATGTCAGTGAAGCTGAGGAGTGGTGGATCATGCCTGTAATCCTCAGGAGACTGAGATCTGAGGATCTCAGTTTGAAGTCATCCCAGGCAGGAAAGTCTGTGACTCTTATTTCCAATTAACCAACAAAAACATGAAAGTGGAGCTGTGGCTCAAAGTGGTAGAGTGCTAGCCTTGAGCAGAAAAGTTCAGGGACAGTGCCCCAGGCCCTGAGTTCAAGATCCACTACCAAAAAAAAAAAGTCAGGGAATTGTTTTCATGGTTTTCCTTCTTACCAACCCATCTTACAGATTTAATCCTGTGGGAGATGTTGAATTGATCTGTTAAATGGTGACTCACCAGATGTTTAGACTCATTATATACTAGTCTCTATAGATTGTGGATAGTGTTAGTAGAACATTGAGATAGTTAATTTTATGTATCAACTTGGCTGAGCCACAGTGTCTAGATATTTGGTCAAATATTATTCTGAATGTTTCTTCAAAGGTTTTTTTAAAAAATGAGATTAACATTTAAATCAGAAGGTTTTGAGTAAATCAGATTAATAACTCCATGAAGTTAATGCATTTTCCAATCAGTTGAAGGTCCTAATAGAACAAAGACTGACCCCTCCCAACCAAGAAGAATTCTACCAGCTCATAGCCTTTGGATTTATTCTGCATCTCTTCCTGAGTCTCCAGCCCAGCAGCTTATCCTATCAGGTTACCATCCACAAGCTGTGATCCAATTCCAGAAGATAAATTTGCATGTTTGTATATATGCCTGGGTGCATGTATCATCTATCTACCTATCTATACATTTGTTTCTACTTCTTTAGAGAGCACTGACTCATACACTTACAAAGTTCAAGTAGCTCTACCCCTGAAAAAGTCAAGTTTAGAGACCTGATCACCTGATATTAGGTAGAAATCACATACCCTTGGTATTGCATGGCTATGAACTTGACATCAACAGCCAACTAGTCTCCCTCCTGTCGTAGTGACCTAGAAATAGTTGTGAAACTAGAAATGGATCTACCCTCGGAAAGGAGATTCTCTTTCACATGTCAAGGTCAATCAGCTAGTTCTTACACAGTGTTAAGCAGTAGAGGATCTAACATACAAAGAGAAGATTTCCCTACCTTATTAGCACAGAATTCAATGCAATCTAAAATAAATTAGCCTTTTGGATCAGTAAAGAATTCACAACACTCTAATGACAAGTCAAATCTGCCTGTTTTAACATTAAACCCATAGTTTTTAACAGAATATACTAATTGCACCGGGTACCAGTGGCTCATGTCTGTAATCGTAGCTACTCAGGAGGCTGAGACCTGAGGATCGAAGTTCAAAGCTAGCCCAGGCAGGAAAGTCTGAGAGACTCATATTGTCAATAAACTACTTAGAAAAAGCTGGAAGAGGTGCTATGGTTCAAGAGGGTAGAGCATGCCTAGACCATGAGTTCAAGCCTCAGGACCAGCAAAAAAAAAAAAAAGACCAGAATACAATAATTGGTTACCAGAGCACCATTTCTTCTGCGGAAGGTCTGATTTCCATCAGCTCTTAAAGGCTTGAGTAAACAGTAAATTCTGACTATGAGGTTTAAATAAAATTACTTTTTACATTTTTGACTCTGTGAACTAGTGAAAGCTCATGCCTCTTCTCCATTATTATTTGCCTCACTATAAAACCTCTTCTGTTTTTCAATTTGGACCACTATAAACTCAGCCTGGACTGTTTGCAGTCTTCATCTACCTGATTCAAATTCAGACACACACCGTTGTGAAATTATTTCTCAATATTCTGAGAATTTCTAACCCACTGTGACTACTTAAGGAAAAATATGTTGTTCCATTTCCTTAATACCTCACTTGAGCTTCTGAGCTCTAACCTGAAAAAGTATCTAAGGTTCCCTGTTCCTTAGTAGGTAGAATTTGGTTTTCTTTCAAAACCAAAATTAAAAGAAAAAAAAAATCCAGCCAGGCATTGATGGCTCCTGCCTGTAATCCTACTACTTAGGAGGCTGAGAACTGAAGATTGCAGTTCAAAACTAGCCTGGGTAGGAACATCTATGAGACTCTTAACCAGCAAAATAGCAATTACTCCTCTCCATACAGGGAAAACAAGGTCAAGCAAGTCCCTTTACAAGCTGTCCCTGGCAGCAGCCACCCTTGTGACCTGCTTCCAGTGTTACCACACAGGAGGAGATCGCAAGGGACAGAGAAAGCCAGACATCAGCACACTGCTCAGCCACTAGTGGAATGCCAAGTATCAACAGCCACTACAAGAATCTGCAGGCCACATCATTCCCCAGTGGCAGCTCCAGTCCCTCCATCCATCTCCTCTTTTCACCCCAAACACATGGCACTTATAAAAACTATCACTCACATCAGCCCAGCACTGGTGGCTCAAGGCTATAATCCTAGCTACTGAGGAGGCTAAGAGATCTGAGGTTTGTGGTTCAAAACCCAACCTTAGCTGGGAGCCAATAGCTCAGGCCTGTAATCCTAGCTACTCAGGAGACTGAGATCTGAGGATCGAAATTCAAAGCCAGCCTGGGCAGGAAATTCCATGAAACTCTTATCTCCAATAAACCACCAGAAAACTGGAAGTGGCACTGTAGCTCAAGTGGTAGCGTGTTAGCCTTGAGCTGAAGAGCTGAGGGACAGCACCCAGGCCCAGAGTTCAAGCCCCTGACTGACTTAGCAGGAAAGTCCATGAGACTCTTCTCTCCAGTTAACCACCAGAAAACCAGAAATTGAGTTGTGGCTCAAAGTAGTAGAGCACTAGTCTTGAGCAAAAGAGCTCAGTTCAAGGCCCCCCATCCCCTCCTCCCAAAAAAAAGTTATCACTTCTTACTTAACTATGTTTCTGAAGGAATGAAATTAAAGCTAGATTTTTTAAAAATTAAATGAGTTTGTAGGCTGCAGTTCCTTCAGAACCTGGGGGATGGTGATTGGGGATGGGTACTGACGCTCCTTGTTCTTCTCAATTACCACAAGACACAAAGAAACATGCAGTGTGCATTTAATATAGGCCTCTACCCAGGAGTGCTGATAGAGGTTAGAGATCTCACAGGTCATATGATTTGGAGAATGACTCTATATAATACGTGACATGGTATTGTAGCATGAGAATGGGGGGAGAACAACCCTCTATTATTTCAACTTAAAATGTCCTCTCCTCCCTAATATTCTATCATTCCCAAACCCATAACTTTGGATTTAGAATTCTTAGGAGTGGGTTCAAGCCTTACCACCCAAAAACTATCCTACATACAGCATATCCAAGGCTAACTGGATAATAAGTATAATTTAAGATGCTTTAACAACAACAAAAATAAATGTTAATTCAAGCCCCACTAATTTACAGTTAGTGACAATCCAAAGCATCCTTTAAATTCCACTCAAATCATCTAATTTTGGCTTGTCAATCAACTGGAGAGATTAGAGATGGACTATTTAAGATATTTAAGACATCTTTCTCCTTTTCAACAATATTGCCTTGAGTATAATTTGTACTGTTAAGATAGTAATTAGAAATGTGTCTTATCAAGCAGGTCTATCAAGATTAGCTGTAATTAGTAACCAGTGGTAATATACTATATTAAGTATCTGCAGTTCATTCAAATAGACCATGAATAATCAAGGCATGGTCCCAGTATTTCTAGTCACAGCTACCCAGGGGGCTGAGACAGGAGGACCATTTGAGCCCAGGAATTGGAGACCAGCCTGGGAAACACAGACCTTCTATCTCAAAAAATAAAGTATTTTTAGTGGCGCTGTAGCTCAAATGGTAGAGCACTCGCCTTGAGCTGAAGAGCTGAAGGACAGTGCCCAGGCCCAGAGTTCAAGTCCCACGACTGACAAAAAATAAATAAATAAAGTATTTTTTTCTTTATCTTAATGTCCAGTATCATCTGCACAACAGCAGGATTTCAAAAGGTGCCATGATAGTTAATCTTCATAATCAACTTAACTGAATAGAGAAGCACTTAGGAAAATAGGAAAGCACATCTCTAGCCTTGTCTATGGGGTGTTCCAGAGACAATTAGACTATGAGATCTCTGACCTTAGGACTTGTTTGATCCACTGATGGATCCAAACTTTGAGCAGATTACTGGGAGGGGTAGAACTATGGAAGACAGAGCCTGGAAGGAGGAAATAAGTTTTTGTTATCCTTAAGGGCTATATCCTGCCTCTCCCCTCCCTCCTACAGCTGTGTACCACTTCCTATCTACCATGATGTAAGCTGATCTGCCCCATGACATCAACCCAGCCATGACAGACTGAAACCATGAGTGAAATAGAGCTTTCCTCCCTGAGCTGTTTATTCAGGGATTTTGTCCAATGTAACAAATACAGGTGCTTACCTCTGAGTCTTTGGCCTTCTGGTTACGAATGACTATCAAATTGTATAGCATTCTGTCATCATCTGCCTCAGTGTGGGACACGTCATGAGGAAGACTCCATAAATTCTTTTCATCATCCCGGGCCAGCATTGCTCCAAATGAGGAATACGGGTTGTTATCACTGTGGTATTAAAAATACAAAAGAGGATAAGGATCTTGTTTTATGTAAGCAATACATTCTATATCATATGTATATAACACACAATATAAATAAAAGTATGTAATATATAAATACATGTACATTTATAATAAAAGATCTAAATAGTCATTAATAATTAAGCATAACACTACAATGAAACAAACAAAAAGTAAATCACTTACTTAAAAAGAATTTTTATTAGCATATATCATTGAGCAAGACGGGCTTGGTTGCAATATTTCTATCTATGCATACAGGGTAACCACATCAACCTCATTCCTACTATCGCTTTCCCTTATCCCCTCTCCCCTCTTCTCGAAACAATTTCAACAGGTTTCATGGTTCTGTTTTCATACGTGCAAATAAAGAACTGTGACGATTTTTATTCTCATTCACCCTCTCTCTTTGCCTGCCCTCCTCCTGCTGGTGCCTACCACAGAACAGGACTAGTTTAATTTTCCTGTGTTTTTTTTCATAATGTTTATTTTTTGCGGGGGGGGTCCGGTTGTGGGGCCTGAACTCTGGGCCTGGGCGCTGTCCCTCAGCTCTTCAGCTCTTCAGCTCAAGGCTAGTATTCTACCACTTGAGCCACAGCGCCACTTCCAGCTTTTTTTTTCTTTTTGCTTATGTGCTGCTGAGGAATCGAACCCAGGGCCTCATGCACTGCAAGGCAAGCGCTCTACCACTGAGCCATCTTCCCAGCCCTTTCATAATGTTTAGTGTATATTAATTGTTCCATTGAGTTTCACCACAGTATTTTGCAAGTACATACATATTACAATTTATTCATACTAACCCTCTCTATTGTGCTCTTTCCCCATCGCTCCTTGCCTTCTATTGTCCAACATCTTTCGGTGAGATTCCTTATACACATCTGTACAGATATATACCTGTATACACACCTAGATGCATACACACCTGTATTCTATATTATTTGTCTTCTGTCATTCTCTTTCACTCTCCTCCTTCCCATTCTCAATTATGCTGTGTTTGTGCGTGTATCTGTGTGTCTATGTCAGTGTGTGTATCTTTTAAGTCTAGGTTCCACAAATGTGTAAAAACAGCATATGCTGCTTATTGAGCTTGGCTAATCTTGTTCAACAAGATGATCTTCAGCTTCATTTGCTTTCTCGTGAGTGACGTAATCTTATTTTTCTTAAAACAGTAATATTCCATGATATATACATATATACTATATTTTCATTACCTATTCAGCAGTTGTTGGGAACCTTGTGTGATTCCATAGTTTGGCTATTGTGAACAGAGTTGCAATAAATATGGGTATTTGAGCATTACTCATATATGAATTTACTTTCCTTGAGATACATGCCCACTAGTCGTATAAAAGGGTCATAGGTGGGTCTATTTTCCATTTTTTGAAGAAACACCATATTTATTTCTGTAGTGGTGGCACTAGTTCACATTCTCACCTACAGTGAGTTGGAATCTGAGTGGAATTTTTATTTACATTTCCTTATGGCTAAGAATGTTGCTCATTTTTTCATGTATCTAATAGCCATTTGTACTTCTTCTGAAAAAGGTCCAATTTATTTAATCAGATTATCTATTCTTTGTTTTCTGTTATATTATTATCTGTTCTCTTACAGTTTAACTTTTTTAGCTCTTTGTGTATTCTGGGTATTTATGCATTATCCATTGAATAGTCCATTGAATAGTTGTCTCCCACTCTGTGGGTTATCCTTTATCTCTTTTAAAATAGAAGAAAACAGATATAACCAGAAATGTGAACAGAGGTAATGACTACTAGTAAACATGAAATTCAGCAACAAATTCCCCAAAAAGGCCAAAAAAGAAAATCCAATGGGGAACTAAATAACTGTGACTAAAATGAAACAATTAACATGAAGAGGGGAACTCTTGTGTTCAAAGATACACAATAAACCTGGAAGTACATGTTGTATAATACCTAACAAAGGGGCTGGGAAGGTGGCTCAGTGGTAGAGTGCTTGCCTTGCATGCATGAAGCCCTAGGTTCAATTCCTCAGCACCACACAAGCAAAAAGAAAAAAGCCAGAAGTGGCGCTGTGGCTCAAGTGGTAGAGTGCTAGTCTTGAGCTGAAGAGCTGAGGGACAGCACCCAGGCCCAGAGTTCAGTCCCCACGACTGGACCCAAAAAAAAAAAATAATATCTAGCAAAATACAACAAGAAAACTAAACAATGGTCCTGTTTTGAACATTTGTTTCATGACTCTTCATTTATTAGGCAGTACTCATGTTTGGGCATACAGAGATTAGAGATGAAGCATCATACCTAGTGTCCATACATCACCTTCAGCCAATAACATGGCACAGGACAGGTATGGTCATGCTGGGGCCACTCACTTCATCTACCCATGCCTATAAAGCACTGACTGCACCTTAATCACCGGGCTCAGTAGGACTGAGCAACACGGAGCAGTTTCCTTTCCCTGGACTTCACTGGAGTCAAGGATGAGAAATACATTAACGAACAATCCCATGACTATATAATTAAACATGGCGATAAGTGCTATAAAGAGGGCATTTGGGAGCCATGAGAGCACATAAAGACATTAAGAGAAGATCCAAGTAGAGGGAGACATCAGGCAGGCATGGAGAAGGGAGGCTTGTGCCAGAAGAGCAAGATACTATAAGCAAAGGAAGCAATGTATTGCAAGGCCCAGGGTGGGAGAACAGCAGGGAAGAAAAAGAGTCATTGCTAGAGAAAGAAAGGGAAGCTAAGGTGGCAGCTTGGGACTAATCCGTGACTTCATAGGTCATACTTTTGTTTGTTGGTTGTTTTGTCAGCTGTGGGGCTTGAACTCAGGGCCTAGGTGCTGCACTCTACCACTTTGAGCCACAGCTCCACTTTCAAAGGTCATGTTTCAAACATTCTTCTAGTGTGATCGTTTTACTAAAAGCAAGAGTTTTAAGTAGGATTGTGATGTGACACAAACAGGATAATATGGTGTGTGTGTGTGTGTGTGTGTGTGTGGTGTGTGCGTGCCCACGCGAGAGCGCCAGTCTGGGGGCTTAAACTCAGGGATTAGGTGCTTTTTCTGAGATTTTGTGCTCAAGGAAAATGTTCTACCACTTACGTTACAGCTCCACTTCCATCTTTTTAGTGTTCAATTGGAGATAAGAAACTAACATACTTTCCTGTTCCCACTGGCTCTGAACTGCAATGTTCAGATTTAAGTCTCCTAAGCAGCTAGAATTACAGGCATGAGCCACTGGTGCCCAGAGGGGAATATATCTTTAAGAGATTTTTGCAGGGTGTGTAGAAAAGCTACAACGGTGTCCGGAGAGAATTCAGGAGACTCATTATGATACAGGTTAATGAACCGGTGGCTTATTCCTATAATCCTAGCTACTCAGGACACTGAGATCTAAGGAGTGCAGTTCAAAGCCAGGCCAGGCAGAAAAGTCTGTGAGACTCTTATCCCAATAAACTACTCAGAAAAATCCAGATGTGGAGCTGTGGCTCAAATGTTAGAGCACTAACCTTGAGCACAAAGAGGCTCAGGGATAGAGGCAAAAAAAAAAAAGATACAGTGTAAGGGACCAGAGGTATAGCCCAGAAACAGGACACAAGGTTAACATGTGTGAAGCCCCATCACCACAACAAACAAGTGAAGAAATAATTAAGCATGTAATCTCTCAGGTGAGATTTGGCAAGTATCAGGATTGCAAAGGAGCTGAAGACAAGTACATTATTCAAGACCATGTGACATAGAAGTAAGGGATTTGGGATAAGCCGGTGGGGGTTGTGGGGGGAGGTGACTGCCAAGGGGGCAGGCAGAGGCAAAGACCAAGCTAGGCTCTGGTTTAGTTGCCCAGATGGTGAGTGCTGTCAGTCTCCGAGGCAGAGCTAAAATGCCCTCATGGACTTGTGATGGCCAAAACACCTGCAGATGTGATACTAAGAAACTACCAATGAAGACAACACAAGAGGATGCCCAGATAAACAAATGGCACCCGTCAGAAGCCATTGACAGGTGGGCTGAAGGGAAACCGCAAGCTGCCCACCACCATCACTGTCAGAAGTAAGCACTAAGGACATCTCACAACAGGAAACAAGTACCAGTCACCAGATTGACAGTCAGTGGCAGGAAGTGACCAGCAAGGGAGGAGCCCCAGGGGTAGGATGATGGGGTACAGATTAGGCTGCCAGTGAAAGCCTCAGACTTGAGAAAGATAGCCAAGGCCCATGTGGGAAAGCTGGGGCAAAAGGTGAGGACAGGATGTGGGTGCCAAGGCCAGGAGGAGTCATATATCCGGGCCAGCACAGGACCTGGGGACTGGGTGCTTCTAAAACCCATCTGGCCCGGTCGTAGGACAGAGATTGAGGGTCAAAGCGCAGCTTAGGAGGAGTCAGACCCACAGCAGCCACACTTTTCTTGCTGGGTTGTTACTCAAGCTGACCTAGCAAGTCATAGGGTTCCATTGCCTGACCCTCAAGAGCAACCAGCCGATGCTCATCATCACAAGTCAGGAGGATTGCAGCACAAGGGCAGCCCTGACAAAAAGTCAGCAAGAGTCCATCTCATAAACAAACCCAGAATGGTGATAGGCATCTGTCATCCCAGCTATGAGGAAGAGGCTGAAGTCCAGAGGATCGCAGTTCAAAGTCAGATGAGACAGAAAAGTCTATGAGGATCCATCTCTAAAATAACCAGCAAAACATTGGGCTGGAGGTTTGGCTCAAATGGTAGAGTTGCCAGCCATGAGCAAGAAAGTTAAGTGTGAGGCCCTGAGTTCAAATCCCAGTACCACAAATACATATGTATATACTATAGTATATGCATATACATGTATAGTATATACATATGAATATATATACATATGAATATATATATATATATATATATATATATATTATGTAGTGGGTGCTTTGGAAACTAAAAACCAAAAAGGATGTTGTCTCTTTCCTAAGCTGACTATAATGCAATAGCGTGATTTTCTTTTAAAATATACAGAATACCATAGGAGCACAAAGGAAA